ATACTATATATATATATATATATACATATATTTGATATATATACATTGTTACAACAATGTTAGAATTATAAATGTTATTTTTGTGCGATGTGAATACATACACATTATACGATATATGTACATAAAATTCTAATATTGCGTATAAATAAATAATATCTGCATGATTATCTCAACATGAGTAACTTTATCTGTTTATATATAATATGTGCGTGTGTGTATATGTGTCATTACATAGTATAATATACATACAATTTTCTATATGGATATATAAGTTGACATATTAATAATATGTACTATAAGTATCTATCTCTTTTTATTAGACAGAGCAAAGAGACTTACATCATGTACGTGCAATGTTGTATTCATTTATTGATAATATATTATCCTAAAGTGGCATTGGACGTAAGAAAAAAATGCTACTACGGCTTCGTATCGATATAATTATTAGTTAAAAATCTGTACTTTATATATATTACAGACATTTTTAGTACTAGTGGTATATAATGGAACGCGGCCATTATTGCATGTGTACATAATACAACTATATTTTCTAAGATCCGACTCCACAAATATAAGATTAACTTCAATCCCGGTTTATTTTTTTCTCAATTCTAAAATTGGAAAATTTTCCAAAATAAAATAAATCTCACATTTATGGGACCGAGCCTAATACATGTTTTCGTCCCTAAGCTAAGATGATAATGTAGAAAACACAATAAAAATGTTGATAATTCATCGATCGAATTTCTTGTATGATCATATAACTCAGGGCGTAAGCATCTTATACATGGAAATTAAAACCTGTAATATCAACCTTGATTAAGTTTAGGCGTCGCTCCAGTATCCCTTTAAGTTGGCTCTCTATTTTTTCTTCCGTGTCTTTTCATTTTAATTGGGTTATGAGATGAAGGGCTATGAGAGTTTACGTATTTTTTATTGTACGCGTCAAACATGATTTAAGTTTCCTGTTTCTCCATCTTTTTACGCACTCCTGTAGCGTGAAGTTAACAATTAAGTTAACATTGTTAAAATCAATAAGAGTTGTGTAAAATACACCTATGTTTAATAGGCTGACATCTAGCTGTTATTTTTATACCATATTTAAAAAAAAGAGAGGTTATTATACCTAAACTGACCATAATATCAAATTCTTGTTTATCAAAATAGTATTATTTTACGGTTTTTTTAGTTTTTAAATGTGTCTCAGGAAATATAAAAATATACTTATAAATTCTTAAAAAAAACTTTGTTTTTTAACATTTGTCAGTAAATATATATTGTACATATAAGGGTATCCCACAAAAATTGTAACGATGTAAAAATATATTCCTGAGGTCATTTTAAATAAAATAAAAATATTAAAATGTCGAGATTATATAACAGTTTCTAAATTATAAGCATTCAAAATTATGAATTTTACCGTTAAAAATTTGCGGTGTGATACGTAAGCTGCTAGAAAAGTTTCTGCAATCTAGTACTTCCAGTGGCGCCAACGTTCTGCTACTATCATATCCGTAAAATTAGACGTTTTTAACCTATAATTCAATTGACATTTTGTACCCAAGCCAACTAGTTTTGTTTGCATAGTATTTTAAAAGAAGTTATTTTGTAAGAAAATGGAAATTTCGCGAGAAAATTTTCGAGCAACGATTTTTTACGATTACAAATGTAATCTAACCCCGAAACAATGCATAGATCGACTTCATTTGGTTTTTGGAGATGAAGCACTATCCAATAGGACTGTTTATAATTGGTTTGCCGATTCCAGCGTGGATGTACCTTTCTTAGTGATGAATTCCTAGTGAAGGTCGTCCATCCACGTCTGTTATTGCCACTAATGTTAATGCGTGAAATAATTGAGCGAGACCGGCATATAATATACCGCGAGATTCAGGCATCCTTAGGCATTGACATGAAAGCAATACATACGATTTTGATCACTTGAGCGTACGGAAACTTTGCAGTCGTTGGATCCTACACAATTTGATCGAAGCTTA